TAAGTCATTAGGAGCAGCAGGTTGTGAGGTAGAAGGGAGAAGTTTCTGTCATAGTATGAAGTATGCTTAAAGTAGTACCCAGTGAAGTACAGACTAGGTTGCTTTATTAATTTGGAGGATATATGCTGTCCTAGCATAGCTAACTAGCCAGTTATTTGACATAGACAAATAAGGATGCATAGACAAATAGACACACACACACACACACACACACACACACACAACCACTAGCTCACATTTTTCTTGTAATTTTAATAATAAAAGTAATATAAGTCATTAGGAGCAGCAGGTTGTGAGGTAGAAGGGAGAAGTTTCTGTCATAGTATGAAGTATGCTTAAAGTAGTACCCAGTGAAGTACAGACTAGGTTGCTTTATTAATTTGGAGGATATATGCTGTAGCTAACTAGCTAACTAGCCAGTTATTTGACATAGACAAATAAGGATGCATAGACAAATAGACACACACACACACACACACACACACACACACACACACACAACCACTAGCTCACATTTTTCTTGTAATTTTAATAATAAAAGTAATAAAGACTGATATATCAGAGTATAACTGTCATAGTGGCATTATAGAGAAATATATTGATTGAGCCCTTACTACAGTCCAAACAGCCTCAAGTGAAAATCCTTTGAACTCTAAGATCGGAGCACTAGACCTTTTTAATCTACCCTGGCTGCTGTAATGCTTACATTTAATCTTCATTATCATCAGTGTCTGAGGCCTGGGGTTGTATGAGAAGGCTCACGCTGCTCAGAACCATCCTCAGAATCTTGTCCGTCTTCCTGTATATCCCTTTAAGGTCTTATATCCCAGGGCTTATCAGTTCCAAGCTTGATTGGACCTCCATGCAGTGTGTGATGGTGTGGTTGCCAAATGAATTCTAAAACTGCCTTCATGAGTGCCAGAGGGTATGGCTGGACCTCAGATTGAATTTGCAGAGGGACCTGGTTTTGTTTCCTGTCGCTGCTTAAGGGCTTGTGTTGCTGATGCCTGGCATCGTGAGCGGCCTTCAGCTCTCCACTGCTTTCTGATTCTGCACACTGCTGTGTAATCGCTCTAGGACTCACTCACACATGGCCTCATGCTGACTGAATCTGTTTGGCAAGAGTGGGACTGGGCTGTGTCAGCTAAACTGTGGCTTCAGGCCAAACTGCCATCCAGAGCCCCCTCCCCCTTACAGATCTTTAATCCAGGTTTGTCAGGGTGTATGTCTCAAGGTTGCCTTGGTGGTTGGAGTAAGGATCCCCCAGCTCAGGTTTCATCACCCACACACCTTTCTGAAAGACTTAACACTCAAGCCACACGAAGGAGTCAAAATCTTTAACCACTCCTCACAATGCTGACCCCTTGCCCAGGCTGGAAGAACTAAGCATCTGCATTAGAGGTGGAGCAGACACTTTTTACAGATGAGTGGGGCTGGGTGCATTCTGCAACCTTGAAATAGAAATAAGCTAACTGGCACATAAGTTGATTAAATGCATAATGTTAGTGCTGTTAAGAGCATGATTCAACACTAATATGAACAATTATAGTAGCTAGAATTCCCAAGCATGCACCTTGTACTGGGAATTGTGCTAGGCACTTTGTAAACATTATCTCATTCATTCCTCCCATGGTCACTGTTATTGTCCCTTTTTACAGATGCAGGAGACCATGATACTCTAAGACAGTGGTTCTCAACCTTCTGGCACTTTATATACAGTTCCTTATGTTGTGACCCAACCATAAAATTATTTTCGTTGCTACTTCATAACTGTAATGTTGCTACTGTTATGAATCATAATGTAAATATCTGATATGCAGGATGGTCTTAGGCAACCCCTGTGAAAGGGTCGTTCGACCGCCAAAGGGGTCGAGACCCACAGGTTGAGAACCGCTGCTCTAAGAGGTTAAGAAACTTGCTCTTTTTACTTTGCTATACTCAGCTAGCTGAATGCAGATATTTTGTCATGACCTCTCCTATACCTGCATTATAGAACTAAACAGAATCCAAAGATTCTGTGTTTTTATTAAATAACTAGAGGCCCAATGCATGAAAATTCGTGCAAGAGTAGGCCTTCCTTCCCCTGGCTGCCGGCACTGGCTTCCCTCCGGCACCCGGGACCCGGGCTGCTTCCCTCCTCCGGCCGCCTGCAGGCACCTGGGACATGGGCTGCTTCCCTTGGGCCACCCGCAGGCACCCAGAACCCGGGCTGGCTTCCCTCCAGCCCTGGCTTCGTCAGGAAGGACATCCGGAATGATGTCCGCTCTAATTAGTATATTACCCTTTCATTATTATAGATCATTTCTTGTTAGAGTTGATAAACTTTTAGATTACTATTGTGTGCATTAAAAAAGGTTAAAACTATTTTCAGGTAGAACAAAACAAGTAAGACACTTAGATTTCCCCCATGGGTTTGTTTTAAAAAAATGAATAGTATTTTAAAGCAGCTTTAGTTTTATGGTTTTAGGTTAACAAAGTACGGAATTTCAATATACCTGCTAAATAGTTTTCCCTATTAACATCTTTTGTTAGTGTGGTACATTTGTTACAACTGGTGAGCTTATATTGACACATTATATTAACTAAAGTCCATAGTTTACATTAGGATTCACTCTTTGTGTTATACATTTATGTGTTTTGACAAATGTATAATGACATGTCTGCCTTATTATAGTATTATACAGAATACTTCACTTCCCTAAAAATCACCTGTACTCCATCTGTTTATTTCCCACTCCCCTAATCAGTGATCTTCTAAGTCTTTCTGTAGTTTTCACTTTTACCTGGATGTTTTCCATGGCCTCAGTGTCTTAGAATTTCTTCACTGTGTTGCAGATTTTTTCTCAACACCTTCTTATCTGTCCCAGCCCCACCCAGTCCCCCAACCCCACCTAACTATGACCAAATACATAGTCTGGAAATTTCACACTAATGATGGCCTTGGCTTGAAAGTTTTCCCTTATCCTGGCCTCTTTAGCATTCAATTTTTGAATTTGCTAATATAAATATTTACTTTCCAGTTAGTTTCTGTTTTTAGTTTTCCTCCTTTTAAATTTAATAGAGGAGGGAGGTGCTATTTCAGTATTTCCACATGAGGATTCACTGAAATAACGATGTGCTAAGTTTGTTGTTTATAATCGTGTTACTACAGGGTGGCAATGGCAGAGAAAGTCAAGAGAAAGCTGCTGCTGGCTTAGCCTCACACATTCAGAGGTGAGAGTCGGCAACAAGGTTATTGTATTGATTAGATGCATAGAG